GATATAATTATAAAAACTATGACATTTTCTTGCCTACTAGTTCAGTAAACTTTTCATAAAAGCTCATGAAGATAGATGGACATAATTTCTTATTAGAGAATTCAGGCTGTATATCAATGATTGCTGCTAATTGCTCTTAAACATCTGTTTAATTATATATAAATATGTATATATGAATCTTTCAGTCTTATATGTCAGAGTAAGGGCATCTTTGCTTCCTTTTTCTCTGGAACCAACCCAAAACAACAAGATGAGAAATAAAAATCAAAACTGTATTTCTGATGAAACTTGAAAGCCTTTATAACCTTAATCCCTAAAAGTAAGGGCTCTAAAATGCAGTGAAAATCAGATCAGGATGAAGAAGAAACTGAGGATGCCTGTTGCTCTGGATCTCAAGTCAAGAATAGTGTCTTAAAAGTGGGTGGAATGGCTTCAGAGAGTAAACAAATAATCCCTGCTTTGAAATAAAATCAGTTTTTCCGCTGGTAGAGAGAACATCATGGAACTCTGTTTGACTACCATATAGTGGTGAAAGAAGTAGGACTGGAAAATTAAAGGATACAGCACTATATATGGTTACATATGCACATCACATACATACAAAGACACACACACAACTTTCCCTAGCTCATTCTATGAAGCCAGTATCATCTTGATATCCAAAAATGGAAAAGACCCAACAAGAAAAGAAAATGTCAGGCCAATTTCCCTGATGAACGTAGATGTAAAAATTGTCAACAAGATTCTTTTCTTCTTTTTTCTTTTTCTTTTTTAGAGATGTGGGGTTTGATTCAGGGTTAGATACATAAATGATCATTGTAGAAGTAAACTTTGGTACTCTTATTGATGTTCTGTGCCCCCTGCCCCAGCAGTGTTCCATGATTGCTAATCTCTTTCTTATAGTATTATGATAAATGTTCAGGGTCTGCTTGTGAGTGAGTATATGTGGTACTTAGATCTTTGTTTCTGTGATAAATCACTGAGTATTATAGACTCCAATTCCATCCAAGTTGCTGAAAAGTTCATAATTTTGTTTTTCTTTATGGTTGCATAATATTTCATTTTGCAAATGTACTCAAATTGTATCCAACAGCACATTTCAAGGATCATCCATCATGACCAGGTGGGCTTTATTGCTGGGATGCAAGGCTGGTTCAACATATGCAAATTAATAAATGTAATCCGCCACAGAAACAGGTGTAAATACAAGAACCATACTACATTCTCATTAGATGAAGAAAAAGAATTCAATACAATCCAATATCCCTTCTTGATTTAAAAAAAAAAAAACCCTCAAACATCTAGGCATCAAAGGAACATTCCTCAAAAAAAGAGCCATCTAAGACAAAGCTGCAGCCAACACCATACTTAATAAGCAGAAGCTAGAACTATTCCCCCTAAAAACTAGAACAAGACCCTCTCCTATTTAACATAGTACTGAAAGTGTTAGTCAGAGAAATCAGGCAGGAGAAAGAAATTAGAGGTATCTAAATAAAAAAGAGGAAATTAAATTATCCCTCTTTGTAGATGATAGGAATCTGTACCTAAAACACTCTAGAAAATTTGTCAAAAACCTCCTCTTACTGACAAATGACTTCAGTAAAGTCTCAGGATAAAAAAATCAATGTGCAAAAAAAATGTTGCATTTCTATATACAACAACAAGCAGACTGAGAATCAAGTAAAAAACAAAACACACACAAAGGATAAAATCCTTCAGCATCCACCTAACCAAAGGGGTGAAAGACCTTTGCAATGAGAACTACAAAACACTACTCAAAGAATTCAAGGATGACACAAATGAATGGAAGGGAATCCCAGGCTCCTGGATTGGAAGCATCAATATTGTCGAAATGTCCATTCTGCCCAAAGTAATCTACAGAGTCAATGTGATCCACATCAAATCACCAGCATCATTTTTTTTCAGACATAGAAAAGACAATACAGAAATTCATAAAGAAGCAAAAGAGAGCACAAATAGCTAAAGCAATCCTCAGTAAAAAGAACAAAGCTGGAGGCGTAACACTTCTAGACTTCAAGTTTGTTACTACAAGTAACCAAGACAGCTTGGAACTGGCACAAAAAGACACATAGACCAATAACACAGTACAGAAAATCTGGAAATAAAACCACTGACCTTCAACCAACTCATCTTCAACAAAGCTGACAAAAATAAACATTGGGGAAAGAAACTGCGTTTAGAAAATGGTGCTGGAAAAACTGGTTAACCACCTGCAAAAGAATGAAACTGGACCCCTACATATCAACATATACAAAACTTAACTCAAAATAGATCAAGAACTTAAAAGTGAAATTTCTAACTATAAGAATCTTAGACGAAAACTTAAGGAACACCCTCCTGGACATTGACCTGGACAATGAATTCATGGTCAAGTCCTCAAAAACAAATGCAGCAAAATCTAAAATTGACAGGTGGGACCTTATCAAGCTAAAAAGTTTTTGTCTAGCAAAAGAAAATCAAGGGAGTAAAGAGAAAACATTCACAATGGGAAAAAATATTTGTGAGCTATGCATATGACAAAGGCCTAACATCCAGGATCTATAAGGAACTCAAACAAATTGACAGGAAAAAAAACAAATAATTCTTTTAAAAAGTGTGCAAAGGATATGAGCAGACACTTCTCAAAGGAAGACATACAAGCGGCCAATAAACATATGAAAAGATGCTCAGCTTCACCAATCATCAGAGAAATGCAAATCAAAACTACAAGGAGATACCACATCACACTGGTCAAGATGGCTATCATTAAAAAGTTTTTAAAAAGTTGGTGTTGGTGAGGCTACAGAGAAAAGGGAATGCTTCTACACTGTTGGTGGGAATGTGAGTTAGTTCAACTTTTATGAAAAGTAGTGTGGCATTTTCTTAAAGAACTAAAAACTAAGCTACCATAAAACTCAGCAATCCCACTTCTGGGAATATACTCAGAGGAATATAAATTGCTCTACCAAAAAGACACCTACACACATACATTTATTGCAGTACTATTCACAATATCAAAAACATGAAACCCATCCAGATGCCTATTGAAAGTGAACTAGATGAAGAAAATGTGGTAAATATAAATAATGGAATATTATGCAGCCATAAAGAAAAATAAATTCATGTCCTTTGCAGCAACATGGACGCAGCTGAAGACCATCATTCTAAATGAATTATCACAGAAACAAACAAAACCAAATTCTGAATACTACATGTTTTCACTTAAAAGTGGGCCCTAAACTTTGGGCATGTGAGCACAAAGGTGGGAACAACAAATCTGGGCACAGCCAAAAACAGGGAGAGAGGGAGAGAGGCGTTTAAAGGGCATACAACTGCCCATTGGGTATGTTCATTACCAGGAGGAGGGAGGGTTCACAGAAGACCAAACCTCACCTTCACACAATTTACTTATGTAGCAAATCCTCACATGTACCTCACAACTGTAAAATAAAATTTAAAAAATAGTAGGAAATTTGGTTCCCATGAGACTGTCTTAAAGAAACTTCTAGAAGATAGTATTGAGGTAACAATTCAGTGAATGGAAAGATGGATAAAAGGATTATTTTGAGAAAAGAGCCCATTTAAATGTTGAACTATGACTAAACAATTATAGGTTTTACAGTTGCATAAAAGGATATAAATGTTACAAATCTTCACAATGAAGAAATATCAGTATAGCAAAAAGAAATTTGGAGATGGCAGAAACTGGTAGAGAAAGAAGGAGAGGTAGGTGTGGATGTATACCAATTTCCTTATATCTTGCAGTGGGTGTGAGGGGAGCTAACAGACACTATTCATTAGATGTTAAATTAAGTTATAGAAGAATACATGTATTTTAAGAATACAAAGATAACTAGATTAAGTATAATAATAAAACCAACAAAAAAATTCCTACAGTGGAGTTGAAGAAGGAAGTGGAAATATACTTATTTCTTCATAATTTATAGCAAGGAGTTAATAAATTCTGTCTAAATGTATTCTAAAATTTTGCCAACTCACCAATCTGTACTCTATAAAATATATATTTTCCCCTAGTTTGAAAAATCACCACCATTTCTTTTCTCCATGATTCTTTGAAGAGTACTGGGGTCCTGGGATCACATCTGCCAGTTCTTTATAGCATCTTTGGACAACGTCTAGTTCTAGAGACCTGGATTTATTTAAAGCAGCCAGGGACAACAATCTTGATTTCACTGTATGCATGTTTTATTCCTACCAATCCAGTTAGTTTATTGTTTTTTCTCTCTTTTCCTCCTTACCATCAATCTACCAATCCATCCAGCATTTATTCAGTTTTTACTATGAGACAGAATGTTGTGCAAGCATGATAGCTGGCTAGAAATAAGATGCCGATAAGCCCCTGCATTCAAGTTGTTCACAGTCTAGTGAGGAGGTAGGCATAAAAACTCTACAACAAATGAACTATTTTAATATCAGGGACACTCGTGCCTCAAGAAAAGCTAAGTCTTTCTGGATGCTTCCAAGAAGGCTCTATGGAGAAAGTAACATTTTGGTTGGGTCTTGAAGAATGAGCAGGTTTTCACCAGGCAGCGGGAAAAAAGAGAACATTCCAGGTAGAAAATACAAAATAAGCAAAGACACAGAAGGAAAGATGATCATTATGGTTTGACTATAATGTGAATGTACTGGAATTAAGGGGCAAATGTTGCCCTAGAGGTTGGTCTCTGCATTCAAGATAGAGTCCAAGCCTCTGGGGGACTTTGTAAGTACCAATGGGTTTCTCTTGAGTCTAGCAGTATCACACTGAGGTCTGATCCTTCACCACAAGACATCAACCCTTCATGATACCTGTCCTCTTTACCTTTCCCTAGACAACATGCCAGGTTGCCAAGAAGCACTCCAGTTAAGAATTGTATTGATGACCCCAGTGAATAGCACATAGCCCTGCCCAGTTCCTGCAAGCTACAGGCTGCCCACTCCTGGTCCCAATACAGCTCTCTCAGGGGGTGCTTCCCAGCCCCTCCTTTGCTGTAACTCACCTTGGTCTCCAGGGCCTCTGGCACCTTCTTGCCTTCCCAAGCCCAACTCCGCTTGGTAAAGTAGTTGACAGTGGCAAATTCAATCAGCGCAGAAAATACAAAGGCATAACAGACGGCTATGAACCAGTCCATGGCCGTCGCGTATGCCACTTTAGGTAAGGAGTTTCTGGCACTGATACTCAAGGTGGTCATGGTGAGAACAGTGGTAACACCTGGGAAGAGAGAAGATGAGAATCAGTTGCAAATGGAAGACATTGAGAGTATATTTGATGAGATCAGTAACTTCCTACTTGAAAGGAGAAGCTTTACCCTACTCAAAATGATCTCTTCAATGTAAAAAACAAATCCTGTCAAAGCTAGATGGGTCCACCTAGTAACTAGCCCAATGCAAAGGACACAGGAATAAGAATTTGCAGTACAGTACGTCTAGCAGATGTCCTCTAGTCTCTGCTTAAACATCTCCATTGTAGGATAAGTAGTCCATTTCATTGTAAGAGAGCCTTTGATTTTTTTTTAAACCTACCTTATGAACTGAAATCTGCCTTCTTCTAACTACCAACCCACTGCTCTTCCTCTCCAAGACAGGCCTTTGGAAACCTAAAAAAGGGTGGTTGTAGTTCCTCGTAAATCTGCTCATCTCTAGAATAAACATGGAGTTTCGGGTTCTTCTAAGGAATTCCTTATCTTGTTCACTTCCTTTCCCATCCTGGCAGTTTTCTTCTGAATAGCCCAGAACTGAGCTCAAGGCATGGTCACTTCCATAATTCTGAACACTCTTCTGACAGAGCAAGAAAATGTTGTGAAGAATGGTTCTACAGCTGTCTCACAGCCTAGGTCCCTACTGAGCTTTGTGGACAACGAAAGCTATTCCAAAATCTGTTTCTTATGAGTTTTTGCCAAACCGAAGCTTGCTTTTAGATAAATTGATTCTTTTGGAGGCGGTATTATTAACTTAAATTCAATACATTCTTTTATTCACTTTTAAATTCTATTTCTTTTTTTCTAATCTTTTCATATTTTAGATATGTATGGGAGCCATAGAGTGTTGTGGTTAACAGTGCAAGCTGTGAGTGTCAAACTGTAGACCGAAATCTGAGCAATCTGACTAATAATACAACCTTGAATAAGGTGTTTTACCTCCAGTAAACTTCAGTTTTATCAAGTATAAAATATACTGAATACCAAATGATACGGAGATTTATTGGGGCATTGACAGGAATGATTTTTACAGAGTTTATAGAGTAATACCTGACACAAAGTAATCACTCCATAAATAGTAGTTTATATAATTAACATTACTAGTATTGCTACTATTGTTATTAGCAATAGTACTGTCATAATTATATAGTAATTATAGTAGCAATTATAACCACATTGTTAACAATATTATTATAGTTTCATAATTGCTAGTAGTAGTATTCTAGTCTTGATGAATACTACGCTACGAGTTAGACGTTCTGAGTACTGGCACTTATTTGCTGTGTATCTTGGACAATTTTCTTATTCTCTCTGCCTCTTTTTTCCTTACCTACGTATATTTTCCTCTGTCTCTATCCCATAGGATTTTTATAAGGCAGTTGCAAAGTCACTCAGACCTGACGAAGGGGAAGTGATCAGAATCTCTCTCTGAGTGTTGGCATGCTGAAGATAAAGGGGATACAAACCTCACGAGCCTGTGTCAAGCAGAGCATGGAAAGAAGTCCTAATGGAGTGAAAGATGCTGTATGAAAAAGCAAGCAGTGAAGACACTGCCTCTATTAACTCTACTCAGATAGTCAGCCATGTATCTGCAGCCTCTGGCGATTCCTCTTCTTTCTTGCTCTCCTGGGGGTAGTTTACTTATGCATTTGCTATATAAATAAAAATCCAGACTGGAAAAGACTCAATACGGTTTCAACAGAGAGATCTTAAAGAAGCACCTTTGCACAAACTAGGGCAGGAATCATCAAAGTTGATTAGCAAAAGTACTTTTAAAGTCACATCAGGAATCAGTCACATAGCTAGTACTTATTAACAAACTATCTAAATCTATAACCTGGTGAACTCTGAGAATGGACTCAAGGCTCAGTAACCTTCAGAGCATACCAAACAAGGACTGAGTTATGGAAGAAACAAGTTACCTAATTTATGGTTATCAGCAAATGCAGTTGTCCACCTTGGCACATTCATAGAAGTATGCTAGTGCTGAGATGGAGAGAACTGTACTGCACCACAAGTGCTTCCATGCTATATCTCACTAGAGATTTTTAGAGCTCTAGCCTCTAGGGCTTAATTAGAACTGTCAACTTATGGAGAGCTCTTAAGCTAGTCAGAGCCGGTAGCACCCTCAATCAAACATTTGGTACATTTCACGGATGGACAAAAAGATTCCTGGCATTTTAAAAAAGATACAGCCTGTCACCCGGTGCTTCTTTTGCAAGACTTTTCTAAAAAGCCTTTCTTAAAGGGCTCAGGTAGAACTAATTGTCCCCCTCATTTCCTTTGAGCACTTCTAGTACATTTACTTGATCACATATATCTGTCCTTGAAAGCCACATGTGCGATGAGTATAACAGACATTAATTCTCAGGCCCAGCCAACAGCCATGGCACTGTACCACATCTGCTCTCATCAGAGTTAATAACGTGCTTCTCTTACAGTAACTCTATTGTTATTATTATTAGTAATATAGTTCTTATTGTCTTCTTTTCTCCAATATTACCAACTATCTGCTCTGTACCTTGCACAGAGTTAGGTCCTAAGGATACAAATTTTAAAACATTTCAGACCACAGCATTCAAAATGAGCACCAGTTCTACCCCCAGGAGTCATCAGAATTAATCATGTTTCATATTCCTGCTTACCACATGACCAAGGCTATTTGTTAATTCATTGTCAGTCAGGCTTAATACTGTTTGACAAAGTACATTGCTGAATCTGTCCCTCTCCCCCATACTTTTACAAACCCTTTCTCCCAAATACTTCTAACTATTCAACTCTGCTGCTCTAAGACTATATAACACCTATATTCTCAACTTCTCTGAATACATACCCCTCTTTTGGTCTTAACTGATACCTGACTCTTGAGCACACTGTTTTAGTTCTCAAAATATGACTGATAATTCTGAATCAAGATCCATATTTTTCCTTGATGTCTAGTACTCTTCAGATTGTTCCATGTTCACAGTCTTGTGATAACCTGTGCTTTTTTGAGACTTCTACCATCTGGAGATACCCCACTCCACTCTTTCTCATAGGTACCATCTAGAGAATACTTTTATCACCACACAGGTGTTCATACCATCCCTTCCCCTCAGCAGGTAACCACTTTCACTATGGATTAGATTTTTTCTCCCCTAGAGTTAAATATATACATACATACTCATTTTTGTCTGGCTTTCTTACACATCATAATGATTTTAGGTTCATTTGTACTGCATCTATCTCTAGTTCATTCCTGTTAATTTCAAAGTAATATTCCACTGTATTGATACAATTTGTCCATTCACCTATTAATGGTCATCTGGATTGTTTCCAGTGTTCAACTGTTATGAATGAATATGCTGAGACGGTTTACATACAAGTTTGTGTAAGCATATGCTTTCATTTATCTTGGTAAATACCTAGGGAATGGAATGACAAGATTATATGGTAAGCATATGTTTAACTTTATATGGCACTGTCAAATTGTTTTCTAAAGAGATTGTGCCATTTAACATCCTCAGTAGATGTATGAGAGGTTCAGTCAGCATACATCTTTGATTCAAAAAAAAAAAAATGAATCAATTTCCCTGATGGTGAAAGTCCTTAGAACATTTTATCTTTATCCCCATCTCAACTTATGTAGATTATTTTATGATCTAGTATTTTAAATTCTAAATATATTGTTTATCCAATAAGCCATTGTTATTGTTGTATACATTCAACAATTTATCATTTATTATTTTCATTCTTTGAAAATATATCTTCAACCTTCCTTCTGAGTTAATTTTTGTTTTGCTTGAAGAACACCCTTTAGTATTTTCTTTAATTATGGTCTAATAATTATAATGATTTTTTTGTGTAAAAATATTTTTATTGTTTTTGTTGATGTCAGCAGTAGGTCTATTTGGTATGACTTTAATGGCAATATGTTTTATAATTATTAAAGGCTGAATTATTATAAAAATAAATGGGAGGTGAGTGTCTTTTGTAAGAAAAATTATTATTAATAATATGTTTGGTTTGAGCATAAAATAAAGTAGATTTTCTATAATTAGTTAATGTTATTTGTCAATTGTAACAAAGTTTGAAATTGAAATTTATTATAAGGAATAATTATATTGTGTATCTGTCTAAATAATTTAACATTTTTATGTCTCCCTTTGGTTATAAGTAAGGCTATTAAGTAAGGATAAGAAGTCAATATTTCTTTAGATGACACTGGTAGATGGAGCCATTCCATTGGTCCTTTTTGTTATAGACATTTTGTGGGAGTATGGAGAGTGGTTAGAATAATTAAGTCTCAAGGTAGGCGATAATTTATTTTTTTAACCTTTTGAGAGTTAATAGCCTTTTTTATAAGGGACAAGGCTTTTTTGGCCTTTGATGTGAGAATATTTTTAGAATTGAGAGAAGAATCTCCCTGTAAAATATTGAATAAAGGTTTTAAGTTTGTTGTGGTAATATGCAAATAAGGTCTAATTTAATTAATATCTCTCAACAATTTTTGGAAATCATTTAACGTCATCAAGTGATTTTTTTGTAATTGTAAAGGTTGGTGACTTATCGTTTGTGTGTTCAACACACGGCCAAGATATGTGAAAGGAGGATTGGTTTCAATTTTTGGGGGGGAAATTTTTAGACCACAATTAGTTAAAGCAGTCACAGTTTTATTAAGAATATTATGTAAAAGAGTATGATATTTGTGAGTCAGCAAAATATCATTTATATAATGGATTAAATAGAGATTAGGATATTGGCTTTTAATATCTTGTAAGGCTGTATTTATATATTTTTGGCACAAGGTAGGACTGTTTTTTATTATCTTGTGGCAAGACTTTTTATTGATATTTTGGAAAAGGCTGTTTTAAATTGGGTGAAGGTAAACTAAATGTAAAACTTTTATAGTAAAAAAAAATCTTGTAAATCAATAACTATAATATTAAAGTTAACAGGTATAGTAGCTGGAGATTGAAGTCTAGGCTGTAACATCTCTATGGGTTTTATAGTGGCATTGATAGTTTTAAAATTT